TCGTTTCTTCTCTCTCTATCCCAAGAGGGACACTTTTGTAACACTTGCACCGTGGATGTACGTACACATGCCAAAGAGGAACAGGAACGTTTGGGCTTGGATCAGGTCCTTCATTTAAAGGCATGTGTTGAGGAACTGTGATGGCCTCTAGCCACTTCCAGCAGCTTCCCCAAGTCTCAGTGCCATTTTCTGCTTTGGCGCAACTTATATTTGTTTTGTGTCCACCCCTATTACTGTCTGCAGCCCCTCTGACTGTCCCTTCTGTAACTGAGTCCCGCCATTGTAGACGCTGTCCTCACCCGTTTACCCACAATCACACATGAGAACCTCAGCCTTAATGAAGACCCACGCTGTACTGTAGCACTGCTAATAGCAACAAAACGTGCATGTAGGTTAAAGGCCTCATTTGTCTCTCTTTATGCAAGTTTTCATACTTTTGCAAGGTTCTAAATATTGCTTTGCAGATAAGAGCAGCAGCATGGTACCCCCAAGGCAGGGGAATGGGAAAGAGCTGTAATTATTTGCTGCAAGATTTTGGTCTAGCCAGGGAACAGCCAACTCCCTTGAACTGCTGGCAGCAGGTAGGTAGTTGGCTGTTTTCTGGCTAGAGCAAAGACTTTGCAATCTGCTTTGAACTCTTCTGTATCTCCCTGAGCAGTGAAGACAGCGTGAGAAATAGTGGTTGACACGAAAAACTTGGTATTAGATTTTAAGTTGACTTAACGCTCTTGCTAGTGTTTGTCTTTTCTCCTGAGAATGATGATGCTTGAAGGTGAGATGGAAATAAGGGGGAGTGTGTATGCATGCTAGAGAATTACCTTTTGGTGTTTTATCCTTGAAGAGTTGCGTTTTTAATTTGCATGATCCTAAAATTCGCATATGCTAAGGTATGAAGTGAACTTGCTTGCTCTGTCTCTCTGCGTTTGTGCTAGGGCTGACTCGGGTTGCTGAAGACAGAAATTTGCTGCCAATGTGGTCCCCTGCATACTGTTCAAATACATTCAACTCAACTTTCTGATTCCTGGGATGAATACTTGATACGACTTGCTGAGTGGGCAGTTTTTATGGAGCATTTACATGCTGAAAGGGCCTTTTCCTTCTCTTCCAGCTCTTTCTTGCTAATCCTTTTTTGTTCATAATTTTCCTCAACAAAGAAGGAAAAAAGTTCTTTGAACTGTTTTGTCATAGAGAATGAGATCATCAGCGAAAAAAATAATAAAAAAAAGGAACAGCTTGTTCTTTGTTCTTCTGTGAGATGCCACCATTCTCTTTTGATTTTAGCATCATATCAGTGTTAGACACACAAGGTTTTGGAATGTGTTCAAACAGACCAGATTCTCAGATCAAGAAGCTGCGTGCTTAGTGCAGCATCGTGCTGGGGGAGATCTGCCTTTTGTAGCTCTCACTTGGTAAGCTTCGAGAGGGGATCCAGGCTTCTAGAAAGTTGAAGAAATACAGTTCCATTATATTCTGCCATTCTAGCAGCATACGTGATAGTAAACCAAATGGGAAATTGTCTTCTCTGTGTATAGTGCTGCAAGGGCATCAGAACTGTTTTGTTTGCAGTAAGGTGGCAACGAACCCTGTTCGTCTTGCACAGAGCGTTGGCCTAAGAGGAGCTTTGGTGGCTGAGTGCCCAGCCCTTTCCTATTTCTCTTTGCAGACCTCGGGAGGAGAGCTCCTCTGTGCAAAGGGCCTCATTGTTGGGTTTTGCAGTGCTATAGTGTAATTTCAAATAATACTCCTGTCTCCCATCCATCTCTGTTGCTGCATCTCTGTAGTTGCAGAGAGGAGCTAATAGGTACAGCTGGTTAATAAAACATGCGTTATTTGGTTCTAAACTGCATTCCCTGTTGCTAAATGTCTCCCACGTAGCAGCTTTGCAGTGGTTGAGTTCAAATGGGATGACAATTTTGCACCCACTTTCAAATGAAATGATTTTAAATGAAAAAATCCCAGAGATCTTGAGTGAAAGAAGCCATACAAGTGCCTTCAGCATTTTTCATTGCAATAGATGCTCCCTTCAGCTCTTGCTTTAATATCAGCATATGAAGTGTCTGGCTTAATCTCCTGTACATTCTTATGTAAATTCCTTTTTAAAAAAAATTATCCTCAAACTGGTAGTGTATACCTAGCTTTAGGGGTGGTTCTGCAGCTTTAGCTTCACACTGTAGGAGAATTTTAAATTTGGGGTGAAGCAAGTCTATGGTTTGTTTCTGTACTTGTCTGTTGTTTTCTGTACTTGTTTCTGTAAGAAATTTAGGGTATAAAGTCTATCATGATGGAGAGCTACATGCCAAGATTTGAAGTCTCTCTTTGCTGAAAAAGTAGATTTCTTCATCAAAATGAAGGTAGAGTAGACCATGTGTAGCAGCCTGTGGTGTGTGGTCCATGTGGTGTCCACCCTTTCCCTCTTTAGTCTGCTCTCTTTGGCAAGCCTTTTTCAATAAATGAGTATCGGTTTAACTGGCTTTTCCTTTCATTCAGGCACCATTTTCTTTTTTCCTTGGTAAATAACACAAGACTTACAATGTGAAATGTTCCTTTTGTGACTTTGTCATAAAAATTAATGAGTCTAGAAAAATTGTTTGTGGACCTGGAAGAGAATCCCAGTGAACAGTATTTCTCTATCCACAAAGCTCTTTCATTTTAATTACCAAATAAACCAGGAGAGAGCAGTAGGCAGGTATTTCTGTGCAGGTTTAGGCTGGTATTTTGTCTAACACATTCAAAAGCAGTGGTTTGAGAGAAATCAGATTGGTTGATTGCTGTGCTGTATCTTCAAGTTCTCTTGGTCTGAATTTTTTGGGGGTGAGGGAGATAGGGTGATTCATACTTGAGCAAGACAAACCCAAAAGCTGCCAGTTTGCATTATGTCAGTGTATGTAAGAAAATATTTAGATAGAGTTTCCATTAAAAGTTCAAAAGCAGGGGGCTCATGCTGACCCCGGCTTTTAGAAGCTCTGGTGGGAAACGTTGAATGAAATTTAACTCCACTCAATGTGTTTTCGTTGGCTGACTCCATGTTTTATTATCTCATGCAATGAGATCTTTCTTGGTTTGTCAATTTTCTACCAAGGACAAAAAGTTCATGTATGTAACAGCGCACATATTGAATTAAAGTACGATTAAAGGCATGATGTAATGACCCCCTCTCCTTTTCCTTTCATCAATATTTGCCTGCAGGGTCAATACATTACAATATTGACTTCAAAGTATTCAATATTTTTTTACCTTCTGAGTGTGTTGGCTTCGAATGCATGTAATATTAAACCGGTTGGTTGAACTGTTGGTCTAAGACTTACTGTCTAAGTAGTTTCAGGCTTGGATGCCTAATCCATGTAGAGCAGCTTTCAAGGCATGTGATAATATCACAACACAGCTGTAGGCAGCTTTCTGAGGTGAACATTTAATCTGCAGTATTTTCTCCCAACTTCCTAACGAGTGGTGGAATTTGTCCCTTGGTGTGCGATGGGATTATTGCCCTCTCTCCCTGCTGCCATCATGTTTACTCTCTGCAGGACCTTCCAGTGACTGTAGGTTATGTGGACAAATCTAAAGCCCACCGCTCCTCTCTTCCGTGTGCGTTTCTGCTCCCTTTTTTACATCTGTGCTCTGTTGAGTGTACAAAAGCAGCTCAAAAAGCAAAATAATACTTTACATACTGAAAGTGCTGTGCAAACATGGCTTAATAAAGTTAAGTTAAAATTGTGACGAATTCACAGAGTTGCACAGGGTGGGTTGGTGCTCACTTATCTGAACTCCCAGCTGGGGACACAGTGGGCTGGGTGGCTCTCCTAATATAAACTTGAACCTTCTCACACTTTCTCTTTGCCTGTATACATTTCCATTCCCACTCTGCTGAAATCGAGCACCAGTACCCATCAGAAGGGCACACGGGCAGATTTACTGTGTAATGGTGGCAGCTACAAACCACTTATCCTTCAGAAACATGACACTCTAGAGAAGGACTTTGATAATATTCTTTGCAAGGCATATAAACAAACAGGATTGTCACCAGCGTAGTATCTTATTACGTTGTCTTTTTAAAAAAATTAAGGAAAGAAAAAATATTTATAGATACCAAGAAGTTAGTGAATTCCTCTGAAGAACCAAGTGTTATAATTAGGAACCCACTGCACTTAGAACTATTCTACAAATAAGCACCTCAAATCTAGCCTAGTCCTTCCAGAGAAAACAAAGGTCAACAGGCTTCTTTGAGGATTAGCAAACCAGAATTTCTTGGACCAAGGAACTAATTACTTCCAAAGCTGAGAATGATCACTACTTCCAAATGGAATTCTTGCCAAAACCTCATAATAAACCTCAGTAGTACTCCTCTCTAGCCTAACTTTTAAATTAAGATATTTCTAGACTGGACTCTAATTAAAAGATAAAAAACCTAAGCTGAAGGGAAGGCCGGATAACAGTGGGAATATTCTGCTTGTGGAAACCTGCACTTTTGCATAGCCTGATCCAAAGTCATTGAAGACTTCCCAGGTCACCAGCGGCAATTTGGGCCCAACCAGAGTGAAGTGGAAACAAGTGCAGCTCTGAGAACCCAAAAGTATGTGTGGCCAGCTGCTCCATGCCTGGGAGGTGGTGTCCTGCATTGCCTGTGTACTTGTAAGGTGGGGTCCCATATTTCTTGCTTACCGTTGTCTGACAAGAAAGAGATGAGGACTGGGCTCGCTAACTGGAAAGACATAGCCACATGGTTTTTAAGGGTTTTCCCATAACTACCACTGTGCTTGAGGATTCGCTCGTACGTATGTTCACTCATGTGTTGTAGCCAGAGTGGCTGTGAATTTGGTAGTGTCCTGAGAGACCACAGTTTTCATCTCAGATGGAAGAGGTGGAAAGAAATATCATTTTCGTGAGATCTAGGTATAAGGCAAAAAGGTTACGGTAGCACTGGAGAGGAGTCAGAGGGGTCAGAGTTCAATACATCAGCAGTTCATCTCTACCTGCAGCCGACTGACTTCCTTGTGCAATTTCAGGGAACTTCGAAGTGGGTGTTCACATCGCAGATGTAAGCTACTTTGTACTGGAAGAAACAGCACTGGATAAAGTAGCAAGCGAAAGAGCAACTAGTGTCTATCTAGTGCAAAAGGTAAGGATAACTTTTCCTTTTTTTGTCTAACAACTGTGTCTTCTTTACCGTAATTTCATTTTAAAGGTTCATTTTCAGATGCCTGCAATCAAAATCTGACTATTATTGCAGCAAACCTATAAAAGTGAGTAAATTGATGCAAACGCAAGAGCTAACATAGCTGCTGACTATCTCAGAGCTTACAGAGCGAGCACAGGGTGAAGCAGCAGTTGGTGACCCTGTGTCTGTGGGCAGAGACCCGGGTGTGCCCAGTGCTTGCCAGCTCAGGAGCAGCTCCGTGTGAATGAGACTCTGCTGATCTGGAGCTGGTTTGGGGCCCAGAGCTGCATAGCTATGTTCGCACTGTGTTGACCTGAGATAAGCCTGACAGAGCCAAGCTGGTTCATCTGCTTTGCTGTTGGGAGCTTGAGATTTGCAGATGTGGTGGTGGAAAGTTTTGTCTTTGTCTTAAGTGCAGTAGTACTAACTAATCCTTCCCAGAAGCGGATGCATAGCAGAGTAGGGTGTGAACACCCTGTGGAATCTCACATCTTGAGCTACAACAGAAGGTTCATACTCTTATTTTATCTGGGTATCCCAAATACTGGAGAAGTGGTGTTCTTTCATCATGCAACGAAAAGATATTGAAAATTGTACAGATTTTAGTGTAACAGAACCAAATGGTAAACTCAAGCTTAAAGATGACTTCTAAACTTTAAAAATAAACAGGTTCAAGTTTAACATTATCGGAAAGGAAACATCCAGGTTTTGTCTGTGGCCGTCTCATTTTCAGTTGAATGTGCAGAAACACTTCCTAGCTCATCAGATACTGCTGGCACCGTGTGCGCAGGGAAACCAGGAAGCTTGGCTGTTAGCATCCTGTGTCGGCTTGAGGCGTCAGCTCCATGAAGAGGAGTGTTGAGGCAGTCTCATAGGAGCAGATTAATCTACCTCTTCCCACGCTCCATTCAGTCAGGCTGAAGTCCTTGTCCTCACAACCCTTTCCAGGATGACAGGGCATCTTTTGTATAATAAACAAACATATCCTACTTGCTACTTAGGATTAGGAGTGATTCTTCCCCTCCCTTCCTGGATGTTCCCAGGGTTGCCATCCAGGAAGGGTCTTGTAATGATGCTTGTTCCAATAGTTTACTGTCTCCTCTCCACACTTTCCAGATGATAAAATGATTTATTTTACACTATTGAAATCAAATTAGTGGTTTAATATCAAGCCATTAACTTTTAGTAGCTGTTCAGTAACTTTCGTTGGGTAGAAATAGCAAGGCACAGCTTCAGGGGGTCTCAATGAGTCTGGTGGATTTTACATCTCTGTGGGTGTGGGTTGCATGGAATAGCCATGATAGCAATGCCGAAGTGCCCAAGCTGGGTCGGTGGTAGCGAGACCAGCAGCACACGGATGCTGCAGTGCGCAACCAAGGACTGGCCACACTGGAAAACACCAGTTACCAGTGACTTTCTGTTCTTCAGGAGTGGGAAGCGTTGCATATCTCATGGCAATGGCAGTTCTGGCACCAGAGTCTTCCCAATCCTACAGTCTCTGCAGCAATGAGCCCTTGACTTCTGCGGTTCTCTGCTTCCCGCTCTGCTGGATGACTCAATGGCCGTAGCTCACTGTGGGAGATGTGGGCTGGCCCCGGGGGGATGTCAGTGCAGGGCAGCCAAGCTGTAGTCCAGGAAGATGTTGTGGCAGTATTTCCAAGTCAAAGTACTGTGGTTTGAAGGCATGTGTTTTGTTTTTTTTTTTTTTAAAAACAGAGATTTTTATATAGAAAGGAGACATTTTTCATGAAAATCTAGTTAAATGCAAAAGCTAATTGAATTTTCTTTCAAAGTGCTTTTTCCCGCCAGCCCTACCAGTCAGTCATGTGCAATGCCAATGTAAGTTACCTGTTGCCTGTAATCTTCAATTGCTCTTCAGCTACCTTGGCCCGGCAGTCAGGATTAGTGCTTTACCCACACTTCTGCCCTGCAGAAAACACATTTTAAGAGTGCAAACTAGGTTAGATGATGAAATGGTCAGTATTTTAATTGCAGGAGATGAAAAAGAGAGAGAGGACGGGTAAAGGAAAGCAGCCAGGCGGTCTGAAACAAGATGGTAGCATGACTGTTGTAGAAAATATGCTTTCCTTTGATGGAACTGTTTCCTAAGACAGCTGTGATTCTGCTAGAGGTTAGCACCGTGCTAATCCTCCCAAAGAAGTTAAATAAAGCCACATATTTAGTTTTCATGAACCATGTATCCAGAAGGGGAGTTGTTGTGTAATTGCTAGTGGTCTATTTAATAAAAGTCAAAAGTTTTTGAAATAAGAGTGTATCAGGTTTTAAGAAGCAAGAAAACCTAAACAGTTTCCTCTTTTTTGGCACATGTTATAGTGTTATTTTAGGTGTGAAGCAGCTCAAGTGGGAGGTCAGCCATAAATCCTTGTAATATTTTATTGGTCCTATTTTATACTGGAGATCAAAGATTGGAACTGTAAGCCTATCTTCATGTTGAGTCCAAGGACTTCGAGACATTCACTTTTGACACCAGCAGGTTGTCAGAGTGTTGATATTTTGATAATCTCAGGCTGAGTAACAAAGAGTTGCTCGAAATCTGAATTCATGGAAGTGTTGATACAACTCTTAAGCTGAAATCTTGGCTCATAAACAAATCGCCTATTTCCTTTGAGTGTCTTTTAGTGTATAAGCAAGAGGTTTGCTGAGCCCACCCCATTGTCGGACTTTGGCATCCTCCTCCCAGCTCTGGGGAGAGCAGCTGATGGAAACTCTCAGTTAATGCAATCCCTCCCCGTCAGACCGGTGGCGGGAGAAGGGGTCACCCTGGGAGTCAGCGGTGGTCATAACCCACCCGAACCAAGCATGAGTGGGCAGCAAAAGCAGAATGCCACCAGAATGGGGTTGTTCGAAGGGTGCAAAACTGCCCGTGTGACTTTTTGAAAGGCAGGGATTATTCTTAACCAGCGTTTGTTCCTTTTTCCCTTTGGTTGACTGATTGATTTTCCCCTTCCGTTCCTTGAAAAACTGCTACAGCGTGTCCATTGTTGAGAGCCACTCTGGCTAATCCACTCTGAACCTGGCCAGTGAGTCAGTCCTGGCTGCAGCAGATGTTTCTGATTTTAAAGGGAATGGGGAGTTTTATCATCCCAGTATGCACGTGCTCCCTTCCACTGCCCAGCTCCCTAGGAATGAGTCCGAGGCTGGAAGCTTGCATTTGGTTTCTGGAAGCACTTTATTAGCTGAAGAGACAAAACAAAACCAAGGGCTCTCACAAGCAGGAGGTTAGATCTTCCCATGTCCAAAGTGAATCTGGTGTGCGGAGAAGTCAGCTGCTAAGCAGTGTGGCCGACCGTGGTTACAGGTCCATGTGTTTTATAATACCAGGGTGACAATGTATAGGAAACACCCCAGCCCCAGCAGTGCCTTCTCTTACTTTGGTCTTCCCTTGCTGCCCACCACTCCGGTGTGCCGGGATGTGTAGCTGCCTGCGGGGAGAGCCGCTAGCGCGGAGGGGGGCTGTCGGGCAGTGCTGGAGCACTAAGTCTCAAGCCACGTATGGTAGCGCTGGAGATTGTGCGTATAGGACTTGGAAACAGGGAGAGAGAAATCCTCTGTAATTAGATTTGAAATGCAGACCCACAGCTGCGAGTATTGTGGATATCAGCCTTTCGCTCAAAGAAGTGCCCTTTGCAGGATGTCTTGGGCCCTGCTGGGCTTGTGGGGAGAGATGATGGCTTTTATTAGTCTGACTGATAGAGGGGGATGAAAACCAGACAAGCTCTCACCACCCAAGCCTTTCTTCAGCCCTGGATTCTATGATACATTCATTAGAAAGGATTTCCTGGGGACTGTAGGTCCTTTTTTTTCATTGTGAAAGTTTTTTCCCTGGCCCTGCTGGATCTCTCCAACTGCATTTCTAGGTTCAACTACATTTATACACCCCCCTGTTCCAGCTTTATAATCCCTGTATAAGCCCGGCTGACTTTATTTCCACCTGCAGTAAAATCAAGCTGAATGATGTGATCCCCAACATAGGCACATCCTTAGCAATTTGCTAAGGAAGCCACTGGATGCTGGAGGTGATATCCCTCGGCAGTGTTTCAGCCAGCCGGATTTCTGCGTGCTGTGGCACTCCACAGGGCGGCTGGCAGACGCTGCTGTCTCTTGGCAGACAGTCACGGGAAGGGCAAGGCATTTAAAAGATGCTGGGCAACCTCTGGATTATTTGAGGTGATGCTGTGCAACGCTGATATTTTGCAAATCTGGGCATTAAAGACGTACTTAGGGAAATCTCTCATTCTGCGTCTCCTTCAGAAAGAGACGGAGATAATCCTATTGCAAGTTCCTTCGGGGCAGCCCCTGGGATAACTCCTGAGACATCTTGCTCTCCAAGTGTGACACAATTGTGATATCTTTGTATGTTAAATGCTGCGCTTGCAACTACTAAGAATCCTTTCAACCTGTGACCGTATCATGTTAAGGAAAAAGGAAATGTGTATTTATAACTTAAACTTCTGTGCTTTGTGACAGTTGGTTTATTCTCCATGTGGAATGTGAAGGGGAATCGTGATGTTAAAGCAGAGGGAGGCAGTTAGCCAAGACTGTTGTGATGTTGAAAACAGGTTTCTTTTAATTCAGTAAGGCAGATAAAATTTAAATACTTTCAATGCAAGGTCACATTGTCTTATGTTATGTATGTATTTGCTGAGCCCAGGAAAAGGATGATTGAATTCTTGCTCTCCTGTGAGGCTTCCTCCATGGCTTGGGTTAAGTTACTTTGCCTAAAGTTTCTCTCCTGTAAAACAAGGGTAACGCGGGTTGATGCTTCCCTATTTAACAGTAGGTTTGTTGCGGCTAATTGCTTGGTGAGTGTTTGGTGCTGTAATTATGATGTGAGTTAAAGCTTTGCTTGTGTTTCACATCATTGAAAGCCCTTCCATAGAATTATAGCCTCTTGAATCGGATATTAATCCTGCTCAAGTACACTTAAAACAAGCATCCTGTTGTTTTGTTTGAGCTATTCTTCATGGATGGGCTTTCATGTTTCATCTAGGCATTTTTCTAGCAGACTGTTATTGCTGCAAGA